GCGAAGAGTCACTCGGCGAAGTAAGTCGGGATCGCCGAACCACTCGGCGAGCCGCCCTTTGGTCACTTTCATCGCCTTTCTGCCTTAGCATTCGGTATCCTCAAAGTCTATAACTTTGGGCGATCTAACACTGCATCGCAGAACCACTCGGCGATCCACCGACTGCTCCTTTCTCTCACCAACTTGATTCTTTCCTTCAAGGCTTGGTACACTGGAACTTTAGGAGGTCAAGTAGCCATTCGACGACTCGCCAAGTGGACTTGGCGATCACCAGGCTTGAATTTCTTCTTTCTTTCAACTCGCTTTGTTCCATTTTGCAAATTAGTGTCCTTGTTTTGTTCCTCAATCCATAAACCTATAAATCAAGGGTTTTACATCAGTTATTGACACAAAATAAGCATTTGAGGACACTAAATCTATATAAATAAAGCCCTAAATGAGTCCAAATCTCAGACTCATAAGTTTTCCCCATCATTTCATATTATTTATTGATTAGCTCTCACACAGTATTTATTGATTCAGGGTATCTTTAAGTATGCTTATGATATGCCACCAGGGTTAGCTTGGGGTCATTTGTTATCGTAGGTCCCATTTTCGCGTCCTAGGGAAGCTTCGGGGGGTGACAACTTGGTTGGTCACAACTTGAGTTAACATTCAGATGGCTTCCCGAAATTCAGCATTGGTGACTTCTCTTTGGGGTTGCACTTCTGGTGCATTAGGTACCCCTTGTTCCTCGACAATACGCCTAGCATGACGACCTGTGACAGCTCTTCGTGGAGGCATGATCAACTGAAAGACACATGCAAGCACTAGTTAGAAAGAAACTTTATAGAGATTAACTCTATCGCACGAAATAAACATGAAAGAAGTGAGATAGTTCCTAAATGTTGCAGCCTCCTAATTATAGGTGTGGCACACTTCACACCGATAACTAGGACTCTACTGACACGGCTTCATAGACTCCCTAGGACTCTTCAAATCTAGCCTCTGATACCAAGTTTGTCACACCCCGAGCCTACACCCTGGCAGGACTGGCACTCGAGAACCATTGTTGGTCCCGAAGCGAACCCTTGGCCTGGCTAGACTCTCAGTGAAAGACTTTAAGCATTAAGAAGAGAATTCAGATGAAAGATAATTCAACTATCTCAAACTAAACTTGGAATGTTTTAGAAATAAACATTTAACTTATCCAAAGTGGCAACTTAAATCTGAACATAAGCCAATAACAAGATAATGACAAATGAACTAACTAACTGTCTATGAAGCCTCTAACAACTGAGATGGACGTCGTGACAAGACCCACGACATCCTAATGAACTAACTATAAAGCAATAAAAAAGGGTCCCCCAAAAGCAAGGAGGCTCACCAACTGACTCTGAGTACTCAACTGGATCAACGAGGCACTGAATGCTGATCCTGGTTACCTATATCTGCATCATAAAATGATGCATGCGAAAATTGCATCAGTACATTGAATGTATGATCATGCGAAGGGAAAACTAAACACAATATAAGTTTGAAATGAATACTGAAAGAAACACTTACCTCAATTTTACTCAACTCATGAATACTCAACTCAACGCAGAAATAAACAACAGTAAAGGTGTAGTTTATATAAAGCATTTAAAACAGTAGGTAGTAACTCAATATGTTAAAGAAGTGCAATAACAACTCAATTTATATATATAAAGTAGTATAATTCTGTGGGAGTTTCTCTAACCGACAACCATCACTATGAGCTAATGTGATGATACAGCGTCTCGTCCACGCTGCCAGAACTATCTTGCATCTTGCCGGGATATAAAACATCTCAACTAAGTTGATCCACCAGTCTATGCTAAAAAACACTAAGGAATTATCTAAAAAGTATGATCATTTTTACCCACGATGGCTACATTGTTTATGGAGATTTGAGTTATTGTGAACTCGTCCACATATCGGTGATCAATACTACTCCAAAAATACTAAGCTCATATGTTTAAAAATAAAACTCTTTCTATGGTTTGAGATAGTTACCCAAAAACTATCTCAAAGGCTATCTTGGAAATCTGTGTTTCCTCTCTTGTTTAAATGTGAAAACATTTACTCTTTTGGAATACATAGTCCCGATATACTCTTTTGAAGAAAAGAACTTTGATCTTTACTCTTTACTCAACTCAAAATCATGTCTTAAAACAAATTTAAAACGTTTGCAAAAGACTTTTGAAATGACTCTAAGAAGTCTCTAGACTAGGCTCTTAACTTTCCTTGAATTTATGGATTCAAGGATAGTCATTTGTGATAGGAAGGATTTCATGATGTTTAGGAGTGTTTTTAGACACTTAAACATGAGAAAGGACCAAGAAATCACTCTCTAGAAGCAAGCCCGCGATGTGGAGATGCATTTTTATTTTTGGTCTCGAAATAACTTTTGAGGAAGAAGGGTCCGTGCCTGCTCCGCAACACGGAGAAAATTTCTATGAAAAGGTGGGGCAAGTCCACGACGCGGACTGGGACTCCAAATTTGCCCGACTTTTTCCTTCTTCATTTTCTAACCCCCAATTCTCCTAAATTCAATTTTTTCCCCCAAATTTTCTTTAGATTCTGATACCCAGTATATGTACACAAGAACCTAACTCATAAGGCAATAACAATTTCAGCCCAATTCAAGAACAAAAGCAAATTCAAGAACATATATCAAGAACATTGAACTTTCAACCTTTTTAGAACGACTTCACGCTGAAATAAACATGTTTGGTGCGTGGGTGAACAAACTCAATGCTATGTGAACTCACATACCTCGTAGGATTGAATCCTTGGCGAAATCTCCAACCAAAATCGCAAGAACTTGACGAATCTTGAACTTTTCTTCTCCTTTCTCCTCTTGAGTTCTTTCTCCAAAAACCCTAGCGTGTTTTAGTAAATGCATAAACTGATCTAATTCTGATTAGACCCCAATTAAAATTCTAAAAATGAAATAAATTAATTGAGCATGGAAAAGACCAAAATACCCCTTATAAATTCAGTTGACTTTCCTTATCTAGACATCCCAACTTTGAATGGCTTTATCTCCCTCATACGAACTCGAAATCGAGCAAACTCAGCGGCGTTGGAGTTATGGTCGTTTGATGTTGACCCAAAACTCATCCTTAACTTAATGTAAACAAATTTCCAGATTTGTCATTCTTTCCAAAAATGACTCTTTCTAATTCCAGCTCTTTCACTTAGAGGGGTGTTACAAAAATGAATCTTGTGCGAAATTATAACCGTAAGATATAAAGTATGGTTTGTGCCTCGAGGCATAAAAGATTTTCGCAAAAGTTCTGACATTATTAAATGAAGATGTATTCTTTAGTGGTAGATGCAATGAGACTTGTTTCAGTCTGGAAATAGATGAAATATGTCAATATGTATAATGAATGATTATTATATCTAACTAGACGGTGAAGGTTATATGAAAATTCTTGAAGGATTTAAAAGGTCTTAAAGCAATTACATTGAGTGTCAAGTGATTTTGAGATTGCTTAACACAAAGAAAGAATCTTTTCAATCACATGAAAATGATAAGAAAATATTATGTATTAGTGGTATTGCTGCACCTACAGATTGTTGGTTATGTAAATAAAAGAAGATTATTTGTTCTACATAACAAAATTTATGTGAAGGGATTGACATATTATCATTCAAGTTATATCAAGAAACTAACAAAGAAAGTGACTCAGTACATAGAAAATGTGCTTTTTTGCTTCGAGAAGAAAAGATGAGCTTCAATAAAATTGAAATGATCAATCTCCAAGTCATAAAATATTTGATTATGTAGATGGATAATATTTATTTGATCTACATGAAACTCAATATCAAATGGGCTATTTGTTAACATATGGAGGCACAAAAATATCTTAGCATTCAAGGAATCAAACACTAGTAACCATTTCTTCAAATGATGCAGAAATTATACTAATCTATGAAGTAAGTTGGGTATGTGTTCGGTTGGAATCATAGCCTACCATATTCAGGAAATAATATCATAGTCGGGAGTAAGTTGTATCACACTGAAGTTATATCAAAATCTACAAGAAAATCAACTGCAAATGAAAATGTCCACAACATTATTGTTTCTATGAACGAGTTGAATGAGCAGTTGTGCAAGCAATAGCGAGGTAATGAATAAAGTAATTTTTCAGAAGTTTGGCTAAGATGAAAGCCTTATCATATCGATGAAATCAATAAAATAATATATCAGGATTAGTTCAAGAATGCAGTATCTTCGTGAATGTGATTTGATCAGAAAGACACTGTCAATAATAACATCTAAGAAGTTGGTATATAAGATTGGGTGATATCATCACAAGAAATTAAGTAGTGTTTTAAACAGGGGAGTATAACATGCGTTGTACTCTTGTTTCCTTGACCGAGATTTTGTCCCACTAGATTTTCCTGGCAAGGTTTTTAATGAGGCAACAAATAATATATATTAAACGATAGTATACTCTTTTTCCTTCACTAGAATTTTTTCCCACAAGATTTTACCCAGTAAAAATTTAATGAGACATATTATCTATGGACATTTAAGGAGGAGTGTTATAAAATATTATATTGTAGATTTTCATTACACCTAGAAGTTAGTCTCACCAATTATCTTCATTACTTCCCTCCATTATGAAGATAATTTCCACCTTTATGACAATTATTCTGTTGGCCTTACACCTCCATAGCATCCTCCTTTATATTCATGATTAATGTCATGTTTGTAACTAACATTTTATATGGCTCTCTATGTTACACTATAAATAGAGGCATAATAATTCATATTGTATACGCTTCATCTTTTATATTTTTTGTCTTATTTTACTTCAATTTAAGAATGAACATTTTTCTTAAGCAGTAACAAAAAATATTTAGCATTAAGAGTAATATTATTGTATTAAGAGTCGGTAAAATCATTACACACACTGATATATATATATATAATATAGCTAAAAGTATGACGGTGGGACAGGGGAGTATTTTTGTTGAGAAAAGGTATAGGAGGAGTAAGGTGTGGTTGTTTAGGAAAAAGAAAAAAGAATAGAGAGAGTGATGAGTATGGATCTAGCAGTGGTGGACTATGGTTCGTGCAAGACGAGACCATCGGCTCTTCTGAACTCGATATTTATGACGACGGTAAACGCAGCCGCAAAGAGCCTTGTTGCGGTAGCTTCGAATGCTAAGGCGGCAGACCAACAAACAGAAAAGTGGAGAGCAACAGACCACATGAGGTTCATGTTGATGCTCATGACTTGGTTAGCAGTTTGGGTTCTTAGGGTATTGATGGATCACTGTCCTTTCTCTACTGCTTCTTCCTATTCACTTGATGATTTAATGATGTTGCCATCAACTGGAGCTTCTTCTACTTCTGCTTTTGATTTAGTGCTTCAACAAGATTCTACTAATTATATACAACCACCTTCTGCTAAAGCTCTTGGTAGAGCTCTCACGCATGTAAGTTTTATCCCTTATTTTAATTTATTGCTTGCAAAGTACATACATAATTAAAAATCAAACAAGGCCTTTAAATTTTGATTTCAAACATAGCACATATATATATTGCCACTAAAGGAAGATGCGTAACAACTACTTACCTTGTTGAAAACTCTTCACCTATCATCTCATTCTGAAAGTATTTACTCCCTCCCTCCATCCCATTTTATATGACACTTTTTAGATTTTCAGATTCAAATAAGTATTTTTTTATCGTAAGTTTTTCATAAATCTTTTTGAATTATAAATTATTGTGACTTATAGTATTTTTTGGGTAATTTACAAATATATAAAATTAATTTTAAAAAATTGAAGATCTCATGTACAAATTTTCGTGCAAACTTAAAATTTTTGACTCGAAAAACGAAAAATGTCACGTAATTGGACACAAAAAAACTAATAATTTTGAAGTATTGAATTGTAACATGTATCTTGTTTGTTAAATTGATCACTCAACAGGGTGTGGAGCCATACTTATTAGCGGTCCTCATTATATTGATTTACCACTCACAACTCCTTGGGATCGGTCCGTTGCTTAGCGGACTGAATTTTTCGACTATTTAAGATTAAATTCATTTATTTATGCTAGGAACGTAATTAAAATTAAACTTCAGATTAAATTATTTATGTATGCTTGGATGGTAACTAAACTAAAATTTAATTTTGGGATTTGTTCTGAATTTGTATCAATTTGGACATAATCAGCCAGCAGGAAGTACTACTTCTGTAAGGTTTGTTATTATAGGTACAGAAATAAATCTGTCGTTTTCGGTCTGCCGTTACTATATACTAATAATAGATTTTGGTATGCATGTAAATGCCACGTGTCTTTTTCTTTAGACACCTATTTTAACTTGTCACCTCTCCTCTCGATACGTCATTTGTGTTATCTCAATCGTCACTTGCGTGTCTTAACATAAAAAATCAGATGCATTATCATGTCGTAAATTGACCTTCAATTTTTGTTTTGGTTATTTCCCTTATATATTTATTTGAATGAGTATTAACTAATTTAAAAGGAAAAAAAAAGACAAGTAATAATGTGTACATTGTCGTTATAAATCATCGATCATCGATCACTATGAAATGAAAATTAAAAATTAAGTTACTTCATCACTTTTTATAAGCATTTTAAAAATAAATAAATAAATACGACATATCTCTGAATAGAGGGAGAATTGGTTTACCGCTTCATGCTCATTGATATATATTAAATGTAAAACATATATACCAGGAGCATGTACATATATGATATATATGTACATTTAATTTATTTATCAGGGCCCAAAAATTTATACCCTTGCTCTCAAATTAGGTGGCACAATTTATGAAGACACAACGGTAATTTTGAAAATCAATCAAGTTTATCTTTGACTAGAATATGACTTTTGAATATTTTAGATAGTTAATTATTGTGTTCTATAATATTTTTAACATAGTTTTAAATATATAATTTTACCTGAAAAAAACTTAAATCTTCTATGATCGTATTCTTGGTTAAAATTTAGAAGTTTATCCCTCAATATTTCAATGTGACATATAGGTACTTTATTTGCACTCTCTAAAATATATGATAGTAAAAGAGTTGAATAAATCTCTAATTCGTGGATTCTATAATTCTATACTTTTTTCTTAATTAAATTCTTCTAATTAATTTAAACATGCGATTTTTCAATCTTACCATTTTATTACTAAATAATGTCTCACTGACTATAGATTAAGCGCACACAAAAAAAAAAAAGTTGAAGCAGGAACTCTTTTTTTTGTATATATATTTTTTTAAAAGGAGAGTTTTAACATGTTAGTTTCTTTAGTCATTAATAAAGAAATTTGAGGGTATCATAGTTTTTGAAATATTATTGCAAGATTTGCTTGCTTAAGTTGTCCTCTATGTTTAGCTATTTTGACCTTATTATTAACTCCCAAAAAAAAGTCATCTTTTTCATTTTAATTACAAATCATGCCCTAAAATTTAAGTGAAATGTCATGGAGTATGGTGGGATCCACTCGTTATGCTTTCCAAACTAACACATAACACTTGCGCTATAATTTTCTTCATATGTTTTTATTTCCATTTGAATTCGGTGAAAGACAATTACTTATTGTTATAAAGATTGATATTAAAGTGTGTAAATTACTCTACTCTATTCCAGTTAACTCCACATGCATATCATTTGAATCTCCCGAAGGATAATTACTTGTTCATACCCAAGTGTATTTAAAGTGTATAAATTTATTATATTAAGTAGTTTAATACATTTTTAGAAAAATGAATCATTCATTTATGTAAGTTGCTCTATTTATTACCAATACGTAAATAATATACTTTATTACGTATAAATTGTTTTTAGTATTTAATGGTATAATGTTTTAATGAATATAAACAATTTATCATTTGGCAATCATCCGCCATTCATGAATCGAGAATTTATTCAACTTTAAGTATGCACTACTATGTGCATATGATCACTGCTCAATAATTACTTAGGTGTGTTCGGTATGATGAAAAATATTTTTTTAGAAGATGATTTCTAGAAAAATAAGTAGGATTTTTGTTTTACTTATTCTCTTGTATTTGATCATACTCAAGTAAAAAATAACTATTCTAAAAGCATTTGTATCTAATTTAGAGAAATACTGTGAGAGATGAATTAGATTGAGGGTAGTGTAGTGGTGGTGGGGATGAGGATGGGGAGTCCAAGGGATGAGTTAAAGATGAGGTGCGTTAAAAGGTGAGGAAGGTTGATATGGAATGTCACTTGTGAATCTTGTTTTTCATATGCCCATCTTATGAGTAATTTTCCTCATTTAAAAAGAACAAAAAACTTATTATCCTAAAGAAAGAAGAGTAATTTTCCTCATTTGAAAAGAACAAAAAACTTACTAGCCTAAAGAATACATCTTAGATGCATAGACTTTTTTTGCTCTAATTTCACATAATTTTTTGTTTTATTAACAACATTGGTCCTGTGCCATCTTCCTTAGTTATTAGGAGAGAATAGACTAAGATCCAAAATGGTAAACTTACCATCGGATCCGACATCGTGTTAGTCCTCTTTTCGGATTAAGGACTTATTCTATAGAAACGATCTATAAATGGTAACACAACAGTAAAGATAAACAAACTCGGTGTAAATCTGAACTAATTTGGATAACAAGCTTCGATTAATTTCCTTCAACTTAGAGTGCATATAATGTTTTGTTCTACGATTTCCTTTTAAGAAGAAAATAATATTGGTACTTGTTTACTTTTGTTGAATGAATTCTAGGGGGCGTTTTGACAACCAGGGTGGATGGACAGGTGAGAATACAGTTCACGTGAACTTAATAGTTTTGATCTAAACTTCGATTTTTGTCATAAAAGATCCATTTAGTGTGTACAATTTATTATTTTAGAATCCAGTAATTTGGAAAGGGCTATAATGTAAACTGTTGACTTATTCATTCGAGGGAATATATTTCAGATACTAGCGTTGCTAAATGAGATTCCAGCTTCGTCGAGGAAGTACCAGTTTGCAATGGGGATGGCTGACAAGATCATAGAGGAGAACACTAAATGCGGACACTTAGAGATGCTCCAAGTTAATCGTTCGGCCCTGGCTTCAGCCTTCACGCGTACATCTGGACTTCTTTATAGCTCTTTAAAGAGTCCCCGTATGTCAGAGGATTCATGGACATGGCCATCACGTATTCTTCGATCCCTTCCTTTGGGATCTTTTGTGGCGTCATCACTCAAAGGTTTGGGCACATTTTTTCCATGGGTGGGAACTGCCACGAGCCTCTTTCAAAACAAGAGACAGCTGGCGGTTCCCGGTCATGTGGAGAGTGTGAATGACTTGGCAGCTGAGAAACACGCACATGAGTTGCTGTGGATAACAAGTAAGATGGTAGAGTGTGGTGCTGTGGATGAAGCTTTGGTGCATTGGAGCTTATCTTCTGGCTTAGCTTCCATTACTCTCTTGTCTAATCTCAGGGTGCAAGGATTCATTGTCAAGATCACAGGTGTGTTCAAATTATTATTATTACTAAATTTTTTAAGTGATATATATAGTTTGACTTGAGATTTATTTTGAACTCTATGACTTGACATGAAGTCTTAAAGTATAGTAATTTTAAAAAAAGCGATTATTATTATTGAGTTTTGCCATATTGTGGTGTAGCGATATTAATTGGAGAGCTTAACAAAGTTAAATATGAAGTTCCAAGGCAAGTGAAGTTCAACATACTCGTGTTGTGGATTCCGCTGTTGTGTTATGCAGAAAATGGAGTTTCATATCCAGTATTGTCGGGATATGAGAAGGTGGAGATGGAGAAGGCAATGAACGAATTGATCCGTACGCTACCCAGTATTGATCAAGAGGTTATTCTCATCAACTGGATGCAAGATTTCATGACAGCATCTTCGGACTGGCCAAATCTCCACAATTCATATGACCATTGGTGCCATTCCACTCGTGAGTTCATTCCAGGAGTTATGCATGAAGGAGGACAACTTTGTGAGTCTACTCTATATATGTAAAATATAGTTGTACTTGGGATGTGAGTGTTTTTTCGTTGAAGACTCTAGGACCTGGATAAAAGTATCATTTGGTAGTGCACTTTAGGAGTTGAACTATCTTTTTATATATATATATATATATATATATATATGGCTTTCCTTTTATCTTTACCGTTTGTATGTCTTCTTTATAAATAAATAAATAAATAATACTACTACTTGTTTTCTTGTAATTATACTTTGATGATCAATAATATACTCATTCCATTTTTAAAAAAATGACTTCCTTTCCTTTTTAGTCTGTTTAAAAAAGAACATTTTTTTTTCTTTTTTTGGTAATATTTTAATTTCAGCTTTCCACGTGGCATGTTTAAGGCCACAAGATTAAAAGACAATTTTGTACATTTGACATAACTTTAATTTAGGACCACAAAATTTAAAAATATTCTTTATTTTCTTAAACTCCGTATCAAGTCAAACTACACTTTTTTTTTTAAATAGAGGGAGTAATAGGCAACAAATTAGAAAAGAGTTATCATAGACATGAGGAAGAGTTTTCTTAGAGATGTCATCATGCATTTTTAGTATCCAGATCTTCGCATATATATAATTTGATCTGTTTGCGTTCATCTTGTTGCTACATCTATCTATCTATCTATCATAAGAATCATGAAAGAATAATAATAATAATTATATATATATATATATATATAGTTGACACACACGCATAACAAAATTTAATTTCAGGTGGAACATTAATTAATTCATGACCTACTTTAGTGTATTTGTTAAATGTCTATCAGGCTTGACAAATGGATTATTGAGGTTTCGTCATGTGGAAGCATGCATCACCTTAATTTAGACTTAGAGATCGGAATTAGTATATATATCTCGACTAATGAAACAGCAATGAAAGAGTATGAGTTTCACGGGGAGCTAGTTTGTCGAACCAGTGACAACACAAGTACACAACTATAAATGTGTCATGGAGCTTAAGCTTGGACTTGATGAAGATATTAAGTGTTGACCTACTTACCATCATAAAATACATTACATTTACGGCTCGTAGGTCTTGGCATGGACAATAGCAACCACAGTTCAGTACCTCAAATTTTGGAGACGCTCAATGGTGAAAGATATGGATCGTATCTTATATTTATGGTCCATAAATCAAAAGAGGAAACTCTAAGAATAATTCTTGCTTATGGCCCAAGTTTACTTGTAACCCACGTAATATCATAAATAATATTTAATGAAGAATAAATCTTGTTCGTACATTGGTTCTTTGATGGACGTACCAGATTAAGTCTTAACCTCTATAAATTGGTCCTCCCTCCACCCATTAGGGTTACCACATATTCTCTACAATAATTCTATCGTTGACGGCGGTGGTAATGTAAGGTTAGGGCAAGGAGGTAGAAACCAATTTACGATTAATGTTTTCGCTTCTTTCTGTGATGATGTCTTCCGCGTCTGGTATGTACCCCTAACGATCTCTATATAAGATTATCGTGTTCAAGATCTTGGTCAACTTCAAAGAGTTAGTTATCTTTTAAGATTGATCTTAAGTATGATTATTTTGAGTAGTGTGTTTAGATAATACCTAGATACGATTGGTTGGTAGATCCCACCAAAGGTGATGATATGGGTTGAAATTGTTTAGAATTGTCTTGATCTGACCATAGTAGAATTGAAAGAGACATGAGGGTAGTTGTTTTGCCGGCAAAGAGGTTGCTTTAATTGTAGTGGAAGCGGTCACAAAATGAGGGATTGTCCAAAGTCAAAGGCTATGAAAGGAGAGGGTAAGCAAGTTCCTCATAATGGTTCCGGTATGTGTTTTATGCTTTATTAGATTCCGGTATCGCTTGTCTTTTGTGACTTGATAAGTTAGACTTTCAAGTTGTGTTTAGTATGAATGGGCTTCATTGTTGTTTTATGATATTGATGGAAGAACCCTACTTGGCCATTTTGAGTTTTGGGTAGGTTGAAAGGTTTGATGAATAGAGTTTGTAAGTAATTCCTAGATGAGTTAAGTGAGTAGACTCCTCTTAAAGGTAGTAGTGAAATTTACCATGGTTTAGAAACATCTTGTGTGATGGATGTGAAAACTTAGTGATGACTTGCTCTGACCTTAGAATGGAAAGAAATGATGCTTAGAAGAGTCTGTATAGGCTTACTCCCAAAGGGGAGATGATGTGCTTAGATAGCAAGGTTGTTGAGTGTTCTTGATCTTCATGATTTGGGTTAGCTTGGAATTCTCACCTTAAGAGGTGTAGTGAGTTTGGGAAGTTTAGTTCCGGTTTTGTAGGCTCATATAAGATCTTGAGTGGATTGGGTAAGGTTGCTTGTGAACTAGAGTTGCTTATGAGTGGTACCGGAGTATCCGATTTTTCATGTCTCTTAGATATAGAAGGGTGTTGGGGATCCAAGATTCATAAATCCCTTAAGAAGACTTGGGGAGTTAATGAGAATTTCTCTAATTTAGAAATACCGGTAGGGATCTTAGACCGGCAAGTTAAGAAATGGAAGAACAAGAAAGTTGCTTCCATGAAAGTATTAAGGAGTGACCTTTAGTGTGGGTTTTAGGTGAGGGTGCTACTTGGGAGGCCAAGGGCCAAAGAGATGTCCCGATATCCTCATCTTTTTTCCTTCCATTCCTCCTTTAGCATTTTAATGATGAGTTCCTGTTTGTGCTTTATGTGAAGTTATGTGTGTTTTAGCTATTTCCATGATTTCCTTATGTGATGCATGTTCATGAAAAAACAAATTAGAAAGAAAATGAGTTTTATATATGAGCATGCCTTAGTTTGGAGTTGAGATATTCCTCCTTAA